ATTATTATTATTATTATTATTATTATTATTATTATTATTGGGACACTTTCCTGACGGATCATGAACCAATCAGATCGATGCCCCCTCCCCCCACCCCCTCCTGTTTGTTTTTAGTTGATGGTCGAGCTTTGATGCTTATAGTTAATTTTTGTATTTTAATAAGAAAAAGGAAAAAAGTGATTTTATGTATCTGCATGCACTCCGGCCGTACGTTCTTTCTGTATGTTTGAGCACTGTATAGTAGCTGTAAAGTAGCTGTCTGAGGTGTAGACGGAGCTCCGCTCGATAGAGACCAGAGGACGAAAAACCAACAAGTGGATTATTCGATGTAATTACTGAAACGGGATCCTTATTTTCTGAGTTCATTTGTTTTCATAAATAAACACATAAACTGAGGAAAGGTTCTCGACTCGCATTCACTTCCTGTTTCTCATGGCCAGGCCACGCCTCCTCCACCTGGATCAGTTGTTTATTCACTCAGATCTGTCCAGTGGCTTAAAGGTTATTTTGCTAACAGACAAATGGGGTGGACTCCCAACAGGCCGCGCTAAACTTTTAAAATTATCTGGGTCTGTTTTACACATTTTTTGATGATTAACTAATTTCTTCGCTCTTTTTCCGTCAGCTGGACGGCGCCCCGGCTGAAACGGGGAGGGAGGAGCTTCCTTTTACATCAGCGACAACTAATCAGAAACATCTTAAGTTTATGATGTCATTTAACAGCTGACAACATGAATGAGGAAGTAAAACAACCTGTGTTTTATTATTTTTGGGTCACAGGTGGAACTCGTAAGCCACGCCCACCCGGCTAGCCACTTTTCGACCAGGGCTGTAAATGATGTGCAGCCACTAAATTGTCTTTACACAGACTGGGAGAGAACGATGCGTGCTGATTGGCTGATCAGGCCTGAAGCTGCTGCAGTGCATTCTGGTCTCTGTAGTCCTGCTGTTGGATCAGAACCAGACTTTAATCCTCTCAGGTAAAACACCTGAGCTCAGGAAGAAGGTTTTAGTCAGAAAAACAGACTTTAAAAATTAAAGGGTTTATTGTGATTAATTTGCTCAAAACAAAGTTTGGGTCTCAGAGTTCTGATCAGGTCCTTGGTCTACATGATGCTGCAGATCTTGGACTGGCCCTCAGAGCCCTGCAGGCCCCTCCTGTCCCGGATCAGAACCGCCTGGTTTCCAAAGCTGCTGTACCAGGCCGACTGGCTGCGGGTCAGGTAGGTGGGGGGCGGAGCCGTCTGCAGGTCCAGCTGCTGCTGCTGCCAGACCAGCAGGGACGTGTCCCGGAACCGGAGCCGGCCGTAGGACTCGGACAGGGCCTTCGCTGCCAGAGGAGGGCGGGCAGGACCGGCAGGGGGACCGATCGGACCTGGAGCCTCTACAGCAGCTGGATCAGAGTCTGACATGATGCCAGAGGGAGAGTGGATCCGGTCCAAACTGGTTCTGGTCTGAAGTCATGTCCACAAACCTGAGGGGAGAGCAGATGGAGGTCAGTGAGGTTCTGATCCGGTCCAGATCAGGTTAGTGAAGTTCTGATCCGGTCCAGGTCAGGCTAGTGAGGTTCTGATTCGGTCCAGATCAGATTAGTGAGGTTCTGATCCGGTCCAGATCAGGTTAGTGAAGTTCTGATCCGGTC